CTCTTCATGCTACTTATACGCTAGTTAGTATTCTTGTCGATGGGTGCTTCCAGCCCGAACAGGATCATACATTTTAACTCATATTAATTTGTAACACGGTTTAACATATTTTAACATGATTAAGCTACACTGAACTGGTAACTCGTTACGAATGGATTTAATGCAACCAGAAAAATGGTCCTGCATCCGAAAAAATGTCCTACAACTACGTCCTACAAAATGTCCTCAATTTAGGTGCATTCATCATTTTAGGTGAGTTAATTATATAAAAGAGTACCAATACAACAAAAACAAAAGTGACCAGCCGCGCTTCGCTTGGCTGGGCGCCCCTTCGGCGCCCTCGCGGTTCGTTTCGCTCACGATATAAAGATAGGATGTACTGAAGTATTTAGCGCGTGGCTCGCTGGTGAGCTCGGCGCTGGGCCCGCCTGCTTCGCGGGCTCTCCGCGCGGGTTTGCTACGGCTACGCGCCTCACACCCGCTCGCCTAGACATTACAAATTGGGTAGCGTATCCTTGATACACCCCAAAAAAATGTCCTGCAAGTCATGAATTGGTCCTGCAAATAGTCCTAAATTGCAGGAAAACATTTTTTTCGGATGCAGGACCGTTTTTCTGGTTGCATTAATTTCTCCCCTGCCCAACCATCCGGGCAAGATACGTGAACTCGATACAAAACGTTACAGTATTGATTTCGTGATACGCTAACTAGATATTCAAAACTTTTACAAGAAGTAGCTAGGGTTATCTCGATCTAGAATAGCGAAACGTACTCCAACAATTTCCTTTTATCCCGAATATTTGAATTAGCGGCGGATTAGTGTGCACGCTAATTTGATATCCCCAATAAATGGATTCAGAGCAAAATGAATGCATCCCTGGCAATTCCCAAGTAGAATCCATAAGATAGAAAGTTTAGTTGACAGCCACTTAATAAGATTTTTAAAACCCGGTTTGTTCGGTATAATTCCACAGACAGGCGCTCCTCATATGGATTATGAAACTGAGCTGCCTTTGAAATATAAGCATGGGAGTACATTGTACGTAATTTCAGTTTTACCGCAGGTAGTATAGTATGTGAAAGTTAGTTTGCTCAAGATGTATCTGGGGAGATATCCTGGAAAGATATAGGGGTTTTCAACACAGCAAGTCTCTGCTTCGAGCGGTGGAAGAGGGTCACGAGATCTGCATTGACTAGATTGGCAGGAACAGATTAGACATTGGATACGAGGGAGCTTCTCACTCCCGAA